AAAACAGCTGGAGTGAGCCGCTGGCATCGACAACATCCTTCTTAACAACACTCATTACACACTTTCCACAAATTCTCCTCAAAAAACTTCTCCGACTCCTATTGGTCTAACAGCACCTTCGCCTTTATCCAGTGGAATCAGACGGTTAGCTACCAGGGGCTCTATGGTCATAGGATCAATGTATTGTGTACACAGAGTCCTCGTCATTGTGGCTATTGCCTCACACAGCCTTGTCGATGACTGTTTAAAGGACTTGCAAGCAAGGATTCTTCTGAAGCCATTCGCGTCAACCCCAGACGGGCCTCCTGCTCCTTTTGTTCTCAAGGCAGCTTGCCTGACCATCTCTCCGTTAATCTCTGTATACACGGATTTCGGATACTGGTCATCAATTGGCCCGAAAAGCAGTGAACCCAATTTGGCTGATTGTGGATTGGGATGTTTCTGTTTTAACTGCGACATGACCTCATCTGTTAAAGACAGCACACCACCACTAGTTGTTTCACTCAGGAAACGCAGCGCTGAGTTGATTTGACCTTCCAGTACAAGCTTAGCAAAAACCTTAGATCTATCGGGCGGTTCCGACGCCTTGAGTTTTCCGATACGACCTTGAATAATTCTACCTTCGCGTAATAACTTATTATAACTGATAATAATAATGATTGTTTAATGATAACGATAACGATAATAATAATGATAATAATAATGATGATGATAATGATAATGATAATGATAATAATAATGATGATGATAATGATGATGATAATGATAATAATAATGATGATGATAATGATGATGATAATGATAATAATAATGATGATGATAATGATGATGATAATGATAATGATAATGATAATAATAATGATGATGATAATGATAATGATAACGATAACGATAACGATAACGATAATAATAATGATAATAATAATGATGATGATAATGATAATGATAATGGTAACGATAACGATAATAATAATGATAATAATAATGATGATGATAATGATAATGATAATGATAATAATAATGATGATGATAAGGATAATGATAATGATAACGATAACGATAACGATAACGATAATAATAATGATAATAATAATGCACTTATCAATTGAAACCCCGACCCCCCCCCACCCCGGGCCAAGGTGGGGATTTGACTTGACATCATTACAAATCTTAGCAAACTCCCACCCTACTGGGGCATATTGACTGGTAAAACCCCCACCCAGGTGGGGAAACCTTTTTAATTCCCTGACTGACTTTATTAATATTTCGTTCGAATTTTCAACTTCTTAATATTGACAAATTTACTACAGCAAAAAGGCAAATATGATAACAGACCAAGATATAAATACAACAAATATTTGACAATAAGTAAACATAATGACCCCTACCCACTTATAAAAAAGTCAGGGTACAAAATGGATGATGGAGTAGCACATTGCTATAAAGTTATATTAAAAGGAAATCCGTACCATCTCCATTGAAAGTAATATCTGCAATGATAATTTTAATTGAAAATAGCAGCCAACATACCTTAACCTTCACAAGCTGATGTTATAAATAGACTGCATAAAATAGTTCCTAATAGGAGCTATATTTTTATTTTGGCTTAAAGAATGAGGAAATATAGAACTTCAGAAACCACATGGGTTTAACACTAGACGTTAAACGAGCTGTGTCATGAAATTTACCAAAATGTAGGCTGTGGGAACTGCCACCAAATTGAGTGAAACATAAAAATAGCCGCTTAAGACATTAAAAGATGGTATAAATGACTCAGCAAATACAAAAGAAGGTACAGATGGGAAAACATGAAGAAGATTAAAACGGATTGAAATTTTGTTTTTGAAAACTTGTTAACCTAACAGTTTTTCAAAGTTCATTGTTTTTGTCTGTAACGCTTGATATGCTTGGGAGAAACATCTGTTTAAAACGAAGCTTTGATTTCTTCATTTCTTTGCTAACGTAACGCTCAAAAGCGAATAGGGACCACGTAACTGGCAATATTAACAAAATGAACCAGATAGCCGTGACACAGCACCTTTTATAATAAGTAGAGGAGTTTGTATCTGCATTGTTTGAGAAGTTTTGAATAACAATAACAATTTCCAGTCAACGAACCATGAAAGCTCAAGGCAAAATCGCAAAGGATTAGTCTCAGTGAAGAAATGAAAGGAAAAACAATTAGGAAACTTACGGCCGAGCAATACATCAAAATACCAGTGATCACGTGAAGAAATTACCGTGAGGAAACTAGGCACGAGTCAAATCCCCACCTCGCTCCCCCAACTTCCATGGACTTCCATGAATATGCTAAGCAAATCCTGAGAAATCCCCCACCCCACGGGCTAACCATGCCTTCAAATACCATAAAAATCCCCACATTGCCCCCACATAGGCCGGGGGGGGGGTCGGGGTTTCAATTGATAAGTGCATAATGATGATGATAAAAATAACGATAACGATAATAATAATGATGATGATAATGATGATGATAACGATAACGATAATAATAACGATAATAATAATGATGATGATAATGATACAAACATTAATCACAAAGGATTCCAAAGGACCGCAAACGAATATGGCGAAGAACGTAGGATCTACAAAGACCAGATCAGCAAAAAATGAAAAGTAGACATATTAAATTCTGCAAGCAGAATACTGCAATGCTGATCGTACTACTTAAGAATTAACTCTGCAAGACATCAACACGACACCGAAAGAACTCAAAACAGAGCGGGATTTTAGCCATAGACAGCTGTTTCGCCCTCTTTGAGGCTCTTCAGTATGGCGTAACGACCAGAAAAAGCTCTGGTGAAAAATATCCGCGCACTCTGATTTAAGCTCTGACCTAGAACTCTCAACACCCACAGAATCACGCCATACCACGTGTCTTCTGGGGGGCAAGAGTCCAAGTGTCAAGTTGATGTCTCGCAGAGAAAATAAAGAGTTGGCTAAAACCAACCTCTAAAACATGGACAAAACCATGCAAGATATCCGGCATATCGGATCTATAAAAGATCTATGGCGCCAGAATACATAAAGGACAAACATTAACCACAAAGGACTGCAAAGGACCTCAAACGAATATACCGGAGAACGTAGGATCTATAAAGACCTGATAAGCAAAAATGAAAAGTAGACATATTAAATTCTGCAAGCAGAATACTGCCTATGCACTCTCTTGTGCGCCAGTTGAACGAAGTATGGTACTTTAGAACATAACTACTCACTTCTGCAATTGTATGAAGCGTTGATTTCGACTGCGTCTCTGGTACTTAGAAGGTTATTCGGAGTTCCAAATTCCATGTTCTCGTATCCAATGGCTACAATAGTGGGTTTGCCGTTTATCATAATGCATGATGGACTGATAATCGTAGGACACGCCCAAATTATCAATAGTCCTCCACGAATATTTGTCAAACTGGTCTTTATACCCTAAAATAAAACAAAATTAGGTCATGGCCTGTGTGTTAAGAAAGAAATTAAGTCTGAGTTTCGCGCATACTAATTGCCGCCACTTTTAAAGCGAAACAATTTTGTTAGCCTCCTTCGTGACGAGGCCCTGAGAAGGTTTGCGTAAGGAAGCTACGATCTTGTGGAACGACAATTATAACACAGCTTTCGGAGTTTATTAGGGTACAAGGTCAAGCTAAAAGCATTTTGGGGAGTTATCGGGTAAGCAAAGGGATTTTCATGGTTGTTTGTGTCCAGGTTTCCGAGGGCCGTGAGCAAAACAATAACACGAACGCAATAGCAGAGGGGTAGGAGGACTAGCAGTCAGGTGACATGCAACGTGATAGGAAAGACGTAGAGTGGTGGATTGGTTAAAGCACTTACCTTCTGGCTACTGGACAACTATCTGCAATAGTTTTCGGGGTGAATTTAATAAAACTTTTGCAAGTGTAATTTACAAGTGTGCATGTACCTATTGTTTTAGAGTCTGAAAACAATAGCTTCACTTGTAAACTACGCTTGTAAAAGTTTTAAAAAAATTAACCCCTGGCCTCTGTTGATCAAATGGTGGATAACGTTATCCACTGGACTCGATTTTTCGTATCTCCCCTAGCTACTTTTCAATTATTGGACGAGACAGGATAAATACTGTAGTAATAATTAGTGTGCAAGAGGTCGAGGTAAAGTGATGTTTTCGCGCCACCGCGGTCGTGGTTGCGAAAGGCCTGTTTGAAAAGTTGTGATGTCACAGTGGCTTGGGTATCCCCGTGTTTTGGGTATCGTACCGCGGGGGAGGGTTACTTAATAACTGTTTATACATAAACGGGGAGGCTCCGCCCCGAAGTCCAACCCCTTACCCTTTAATATATAATTTGTCTCGAAAAAGGTACCCCTTTAGTATACCTTCTATTGACAAATGGTACCCCTTTCACATACCTTGTTTAGAATTTTGCATCCACTTTTAACTGCTGTAAATGCATTGTCTTTTAAATTGAATCAATCACAAAAATAGAACGTTTTCTCGAATTTATAAAGCCATAAAATTCATCTGTTAGCCCTTTTGGGCCCTTTCAGATCTTTCACAGACCCAAATGACAGATTTCATTATCCCAGTTTATACATCAAAGAGTAAAATCCCTAGATTTTATATACCTGAGGCCTGAAAAATGTACCCCTTTCGGGCGGAGCCTCCCAGTATAGGCCATCATAGGGAGTACCCCCTGGGATCCTACTCAAATCTCTATTGACATGAAATTCCCCGGTAAGGAAACCCCAAACACTGATCATTCCTCTGAAAACAAATCGGGCCACTATTTTTTCAGTCGTCACTGTGGCGGATCCAGAGAAGGGGCCGGTGCCCCCCTTATTCTCAGACCAAACTGAGGCCCTGAAAGGCTGATTTTTTTTGAGACCACCCTTCCCCTCTTATCTAAGGGTCTGGATGACCCCTCCCCCCCGCCCTTATCTCAAGATCTGGATCCGGCACTGCATCATCGTGATAAGCTAAAATACTTTACGACTCTGTTACCTCCTTAATGATCATGATAACGATAACGATAATAACGATAATAATGATGATAATAAAAATGATGATGATAATGAGAATGATAACCATAACCATAACCATAACGATAGTAATAATGATGATAATAATGATGATGATAAGGATAACAATAACGATAACGATAATGATGATGATAATGATAATGATAACGATAACGATAAAAATAATGATAATAATACTGATGATGATAATGATAATGATAATGATAATAATAATGATGATGATAAGGATAATGATAATGATAACGATAACGATAACGATAACGATAATAATAATGATAATAATAATGCACTTATCAATTGAAACCCCGACCCCCCCCCACCCCGGGCCAAGGTGGGGATTTGACTTGACATCATTACAAATCTTAGCAAACTCCCACCCTACTGGGGCATATTGACTGGTAAAACCCCCACCCAGGTGGGGAAACCTTTTTAATTCCCTGACTGACTTTATTAATATTTCGTTCGAATTTTCAACTTCTTAATATTGACAAATTTACTACAGCAAAAAGGCAAATATGATAACAGACCAAGATATAAATACAACAAATATTTGACAATAAGTAAACATAATGACCCCTACCCACTTATAAAAAAGTCAGGGTACAAAATGGATGATGGAGTAGCACATTGCTATAAAGTTATATTAAAAGGAAATCCGTACCATCTCCATTGAAAGTAATATCTGCAATGATAATTTTAATTGAAAATAGCAGCCAACATACCTTAACCTTCACAAGCTGATGTTATAAATAGACTGCATAAAATAGTTCCTAATAGGAGCTATATTTTTTATTTTGGCTTAAAGAATGAGGAAATATAGAACTTCAGAAACCACATGGGTTTAACACTAGACGTTAAACGAGCTGTGTCATGAAATTTACCAAAATGTAGGCTGTGGGAACTGCCACCAAATTGAGTGAAACATAAAAATAGCCGCTTAAGACATTAAAAGATGGTATAAATGACTCAGCAAATACAAAAGAAGGTACAGATGGGAAAACATGAAGAAGATTAAAACGGATTGAAATTTTGGTTTTTGAAAACTTGTTAACCTAACAGTTTTTCAAAGTTCATTGTTTTTGTCTGTAACGCTTGATATGCTTGGGAGAAACATCTGTTTAAAACGAAGCTTTGATTTCTTCATTTCTTTGCTAACGTAACGCTCAAAAGCGAATAGGGACCACGTAACTGGCAATATTAACAAAATGAACCAGATAGCCGTGACACAGCACCTTTTATAATAAGTAGAGGAGTTTGTATCTGCATTGTTTGAGAAGTTTTGAATAACAATAACAATTTCCAGTCAACGAACCATGAAAGCTCAAGGCAAAATCGCAAAGGATTAGTGTCAGTGAAGAAATGAAAGGAAAAACAATTAGGAAACTTACGGCCGAGCAATACATCAAAATACCAGTGATCACGTGAAGAAATTACCGTGAGGAAACTAGGCACGAGTCAAATCCCCACCTCGCTCCCCAACTTCCATGGACTTCCATGAATATGCTAAGCAAATCCTGAGAAATCCCCCACCCCCACGGGCTAACCATGCCTTCAAATACCATAAAAATCCCCCACATTGCCCCACATAGGCCCGGGGTGGGGGGGGTCGGGGTTTCAATTGATAAGTGCATAATGATGATGATAAAAATAACGATAACGATAATAATAATGATGATGATAATGATGATGATAACGATAACGATAATAATAACGATAATAATAATGATGATGATAATGATACAAACATTAATCACAAAGGATTCCAAAGGACCGCAAACGAATATGGCGAAGAACGTAGGATCTACAAAGACCAGATCAGCAAAAATGAAAAGTAGACATATTAAATTCTGCAAGCAGAATACTGCAATGCTGATCGTACTACTTAAGAATTAACTCTGCAAGACATCAACACGACACCGAAAGAACTCAAAACAGAGCGGGATTTTAGCCATAGACAGCTGTTTCGCCCTCTTTGAGGCTCTTCAGTATGGCGTAACGACCAGAAAAAGCTCTGGTGAAAAATATCCGCGCACTCTGATTTAAGCTCTGACCTAGAACTCTCAACACCCACAGAATCACGCCATACCACGTGTCTTCTGGGGGGCAAGAGTCCAAGTGTCAAGTTGATGTCTCGCAGAGAAAATAAAGAGTTGGCTAAAACCAACCTCTAAAACATGGACAAAACCATGCAAGATATCCGGCATATCGGATCTATAAAAGATCTATGGCGCCAGAATACATAAAGGACAAACATTAACCACAAAGGACTGCAAAGGACCTCAAACGAATATACCGGAGAACGTAGGATCTATAAAGACCTGATAAGCAAAAATGAAAAGTAGACATATTAAATTCTGCAAGCAGAATACTGCCTATGCACTCTCTTGTGCGCCAGTTGAACGAAGTATGGTACTTTAGAACATAACTACTCACTTCTGCAATTGTATGAAGCGTTGATTTCGACTGCGTCTCTGG